CCGAGTGCAACATGACACCCAACGACGTTCATTTAAGCTCCACTTTTCGGGCATGTGACAACACAACAGCCTATCGATCGGAGGCAAATGTGGTATTGATCTTTCAGTCAGTATCCTCCTTTCATCTCTTTTTTATTTTCCATGTAATTGTGCATATAGTGTATTAGCTTAGCAGCCACCAACCTTATCTGTACCAATTTGCATCACTTTTTGCGGGCAATTTGTGCAGCAATTCACCGGGTAATTCAGGATAAATTAAGCTGCAGCATCCCCCGTAACCTCCCCCACACCCTAATCCATTGCTTTGGTTTCCTGCTCTTTTGATTGGATCGGGAACACACAGTTTATATAATGTTCTTCCTGATTTGAATGTTTAGTAATGTACAGTTGCATTACAAAGCACAGGCTGGCATATGGGAAAATGTCGTCATGTGCGTTTACCTTTCAGTTGAAGTAAAGCTCATGAAATACTGACAAACCATTGCTACTGGGTACTATATCTAATGCTAAAGATCAAAGTTCAAGCAGCGGCACTTGCTTAAGAAAATTGGCTTTTACGATATCTAGGCATTAAGAGTAACAAATGCCCATTATATCACTGACAGGCTCTGAGTGAAAGAGAGAGAGAAAAGCGAGGGCAGATGAGTGACGATCATTCCGCCATTCGCTTTGCCCAATTAAGCAATGACAAGTAACTGTTTAAGCAAATTGCAACAGAACATATCGGAGGCACTTAGGGGTCATTTGCGTGATGTCAAATAATAAATAAAGACATAACTGGCTGACATGCCACACACACAGGTGTGAACTAGAGATTAAAAGGCCATATGGATGGAAGCAGGAGCATTGCTGAGTGGGATGTGATCTCTTTCCCCGGGTGACTGCAGCCGTTTAGAATACAGATGTTCAAATGTCTCCATGTTGCTGTGTGTGGAGACCTTCTTTACTCTAACCCAATCACCACATCCTGCAACCTTTTTACATTTACTTACCTTATAGAAGGATAGGTCTGCCGGTATTTTATGTCTCTCAATGACATCAAATGAAAAGACCAAAACCAACAATGAAGTCATCCTACTAACAAGTAGTCCCCAACAAATATACTTAGTACTCCTTTTTTTATAATAAACATTTGCAAGAAATTGCAAAACTGAGCGGTTTTGGGAAGTTACAATGCCTTTTGAAAATGTGCTGTTTATAGAGACTCGCGTCTTCAGTAGGAAAGAATGGGCCGGCGGCAGAGGAGTCAGAAAGCATTGAGGGATGGACTAACACATTGCTGGTTTTGTTCTTTTCACAGGATTTGCTGACTGCAAGAAAATATGTAGAATTTCTCCAGCTTCATTATTAATAAATTATTCAAAGAAACAGAAAGAAACTTCTGATGAACCTAAAAAAACTTTTCTTTTTAAGAATCGGTTAATAAAGTACAATTAGTTCCCACCTTCCTCTTCAGATTTCACTTTCTGTTGCCAGGCATAACTTCAATCCAGTCTAATATTGTCTGTTGTCTGTCTCTAGAAATAAATCACCCAGGAGCAATGCAGAGTTGTTTGTGTTCCCCCTTTTCTTCCTCTTCCTTTTAAATTCCCCACATGCGCCGATTCATCCCTACTCTGTGGCTAATGCTTCCAATCCCACCCGTCAAACAGGGACAGCAGTTACCCTATTAGCAGTGTTTCTCATGTCGATGTCAAGCAGGCCATTGTTTTGCATGGGCATCTTGTTAGGGTTCTTATTGACATTGTGTTTCATTAACTTGATTAATGACACCTATTGGGGGCATGCTCCACAGCAATCAACATCTCTGCAGAGAGGGGCTGTCTGCAGTCTAGGATGGGACTCTCTGGTCTTCTTCTGCCCACACTTGATTGTCCTCTCTGTGTCCTGTTTGTTTCCAAAAGGCTGCATTAAAAAATGATCTTATAGTCATAAATGCCCAACTAGCATGCAGTGAGGGACCATTACTTCGGCCCCAGATGACCATGATTAACTTTCCATTTTAGAAACTGAATGCGCGTTTCAGAAAAATAGGCCCGAGGAAAGTAGAGAAATAAACTGTGTATCATATCAGCCAGGATAGGAATAAATCACTTAAAGATGCTCCTACTAAATTATTTGGTGATATAAGTGCCCACTATCCTGCTGTTTGCTTTGATTTCTTCACCATTTAAAAATACAATTACAAGATGCACACTGCCAGGAAAGCCTTCCATAAGTCTGGAACTAAAGCAAGGTCGAGAAAAGGTTTATGTCCAATGCAAGCTTTAAAATCATATACACTACACCCTTATGTCAATGTATTGCACTGTCAACAGGATAGCTTCTGGGTTCATATTTGAAGACCAACGGGCTCTTGCACATTTTTACACATCTGATGAATTCTGAAGTGTTTTCTTACAAACCAAAGGGATTTCTTTCCCTATCTCTATGCCTCCTACATCTCCTCTTATATCTCCCTTTAGGAGGAGTCACATCCTGGGTCAGTGCACGAGAGATGAGAAGCTGCTCGCCCTCAAATACCCTAAGATCCGGAGCCCTGAAGGCCACCGATTCCCGGCTCTTGGTACTGTATGCTGGAGAAGAGAGATACAAAAGCAGACATTGAAAAAACCCCACCTGGAATTCATATTTACCTTTCATCATCTGCTTTTTGCCCACATTGTACTCATGTTATATTTGCTCGCCCTCTTAAGGGAGAGAGGGGAAAGCTGCGCTGGTGCAACTCCAAGCAGGTGGATGCTGGGCGGCCAGGGTTGCTGCTGCTATGGGAGCTGACTCAGATCATTTTCGGCTTTTTTTTCCTCCATTTTGCTCAAAACAATGCTATCTAGCAAAGTAAGTGCGCAAGTGCAGCAGCAAAATAACAGTATACATGCAAAATAGGCCTTACTGTATACTGTATCAACATAAAATCTTTCCACAGTAAAGGGATTTGCTGGCTGGAAAACATTCACATTAAGGGATCAAAGTCAATGCTAATCACTTGGCAGGAAAATATATAATTACTCTGATTTGATAAGTTTGATTCGAGAAATTGTTATCCACTCAGAGCTGAAACTAACTTGGAATAAACTTTATGATGACTAAAACAATTAAAGCCTGGTTCATTTACGGAAGAAAAAAAAGACAAACATAATGCTATGGAAAATAAATGCAAACTACAAAATTAAACATGAAAAGTACATAATGGACAGTTTCATAACTTGTGAAGTTCATCCATAGCTACAAAGAGCAACAATACAACCAACACTAGGACACGAGGTACTGCAGATTAGGGCTGCAATGACTTGGATTCTGGACAAAAACATATTTAAAGCACCATAAATGTCCATGGGTTTATCCTTCATAGTTCTGTCTTGGAGCTCAACTCATCAGATAATGATGATCATTTAGAGTTGTTACAGATTGTCTCTGATTGCACTGAACATGATCGCTAAGTAATGCATGACACTGTTGGTTATTAGCAGTGTTTTCATTGTTTTACCTCATGTGTAACACTGTACCTCCGTTTGGGTAATATGTACGACTCACTAGATGTTGCAATTTGCAGAGACATGCATTGTTTGGATTTTTCAGCCCCGATAAACTCCGTGCCATGTTTTACCCAGCATCTCTTATGCTCCATCCCTCAGCAGTCCCCGACGAGGCGATTAAGTGTTCAGAGAGAGACAGACATAATTGATGAGCAACCACAGCCAAGCTGGTCTCATTCTGTCCGGACACAGTTCAAGTCGGAGACATGACTGGGACACCTTGAAGTCTCATCCTTTTAATTACACTCGTACTTTGCCAACCAAAACACTCAAACTCATTGGGAAATCCTTTAGCAGAGTAATTTGCTGGATTGGGGTAAAAAGGAAGTGGATCCAATCTCTTGTACAGCAGTCCAACTGAAAAGTCGTGGTGGATTACTTATGGGAGAAATTACTTTTCTCAAATTAAGCCTCCGTTCTTTCTACCACAAAATGCTGATTGAACCAGCCCCCGGGTTGATTTCTTAAAGATGTGGGTGTTATTCTTGGGTTACTGGGATCAATGATTTTGAAATAAAATCGAAGCTATTTCTAGTTGCAAAGACTTGGTTTCAATCCTGAAGCGTAATTCATGGTTTGAAAATAAGTAACTACATTTTGTACACTTTAATTTTAGCCTTATCAGCTATTTTTTAACACTAGATGACACAAAACTCCATAATAAACTCAGAAATACAACTCTAGCATACCGTCAACTTGACATGTTGTTTAGGCTAACTGCTGCAAACAACTGCCCACTTACACATCCAGAACACACAGAGCCACATGAGCATCCCATTAAACTTAATCTCCACCAGCTCCTCGGAAAAAAACATCTTTTAGATGCTCAACTTTGTTAAAATAAAAAAATAATTTGGCTCTGTGTTGTTTTCGGGTGCAGGAAGTGTTCATTTTGCTTGTCTGAGCTTGTCTGAAAATTGCTGCCTGCAGTTTTATATCGGAGGGTCGGGTGATGAGAGCCACACTGTGCAGTTTATGTTTGAGCCAGAGAACCAGAACAATGAGTGTTGAGAAACCAACACTCTGCTACATTCTACACAAAAACACTGAATTTTTTACTTCAGTGTGACTGAACAGAAAAGCTTCAATTTTAACCAGTAGATCCATGACGACAGCTTTGTAAGCATGTGATCATGAAGCACTATGAATTACTGTCCTTTGTTAGTTCTCAGGTACATCCGATATTTCTTCTTAATCTCTTAGTTAAATCGGTTGCCCCTGCATCTAGCAGTCTGTTTAACGTTGAAAGAGATGCATTAATGTTATTGTCAAAAAAAAGAAAATAAATAAAAGTAAGGGTAGAACCCTGATTTTGTGTGCATAAGTGTCTATTTGGACTTTTAGTACCTGATTTTGTCGTGAGCTTCACCAATTTTCTAAAATACAGAACGCTTGCGTGAGTAATATCTTCCCACGCCCGGTGCTAGACCCGCAGTCATGATATATGAGGCCAAGTGCACTCACCGTCCTCCCGAGACTTCTGGATGAAGGCATCGACGCCGCTTTCTCCGTAGTTCCCCTCCGAGGCCACTGTGGAGACGTAGTTCCAGCGCATGGCCTTGACAATGTCCACCATGGCCTGGGCCTGGTAGGTGTCTGGAGGCACAACACGGGAGAAGAAGTCGTAGCGGGTGTTGTCACTGAGCTCTGGAGCTGTGGAGGCGTAGCTCACCTGGGGAATCTGCACAGGAGAGAATATTGATAATATGAGCTTGAAGTAGCATCTCGTGAACATATGGGTAGGGACAGGGAGTGAAGAATATAAGGGCAAGACAAGTTTATTTTTGTTCCACGTTTTAACAACAAGGCAATTCAAAGTGCTTTACATAAGAGAAAAAAGCCATTAAGACAAGATATAAAAGAGACATAAAGATGTATTAAAAGACCATATAAAAGGACGCATACACGATTAAAAATCAGATTAACTACAATAAAACTGATTAAATGGGAATACAAATTACAGAGCAATGCAAGATGTGAATAAATAGTCTAAGAAAAAAAAAAAGACAACTGTTATTGTACCTTAACATTTTTGGGACTTTGCTCCAGATATGTGGTGCCTAACTAACTGAAAGCTGCTTCTCCCTGTTTAGTTTTGTCTCTGGGGACAATAAGCAGACCTGAGATGTCTAGATGATTTATAACGGAGCAGCAGATCAGAATTGGCCCTAAAACATTAAGAGTTGTGTATACCATCAACACTCAGGTCAATTATTTGACAAACCTGAAGCCGGTGTAATAATCTGAGGAATGGTTTGATGTGATCCACTTTGCAGTTTGTAGAGAGAACAGCTGCAGCTGTTTGATTGACGTTATAGAGAGGCGTGTTACCACAACGTTACAGCAGTGGAGACGAACGCATGGACAACTTTTTAAAGGACTTGCATGGGCAAGTTCTTTATTTCTCTCTGTTCTTGAGGTGACGGTAGGCTCATTTTGCAAAGATTCCTTTCTTGGTTTGTGGTCTAAAACATCAGCAACTGAAGCTGAGCTCTGGCTTTTAATCACTCTTCTTCAGCTCCACAAGCAAGTATTTCTGTTTGTCTTTGACAAAGAGGAAAAAAAACAAGAGACAAGTCTGTGGGCATCCAATAATCTTCATTCCTTTTGAGATTCAAAACAGAGATAATGATCCTGAACCCCCACCAAGCCTTTGAACACCCAGACTCAGGCTGGACAGTTCACGAGCTGAGAAGATGAGCGCGTCAGACTCAAGAGTACGGGTCACTTGCCTAACAGAAACAGCATCTTAGCATCTTAACACAGCATGCTTTACACACCGCAGAATGTGCTTGCGTAGCTGTAGCTTCTTCGATAAATACAGAAACAAAAGCAAAAGCGATCCACTGCTACAGGATACGTGGTCGCAGCTTTTAAAAGAGTAAAGCTTTGTAAACGCAAGATCTTGCATCATGGCAGGCTTCTGTTGCTCCCACTGCTCCAAAGATTTTACTGATGCGTGTGCTGAAGAAAGCAAAAAGTTACATAAGAAGCTTCAATGGAAAAATAAATAGGTCAGCTGCAGCACGAAGCCAGTCTTGAGTGACCATAATTTTTTGGATTTTCTGGTGGTGGTTGTTGTGTTTCACCACAGGGGATTGTTTCCATGGGATTGCACTGTGTCAGGTTTTGTAATAGGTAAACTGTGTTCGGGTAAACGGAATTTATTTCAACCCTATGGCTCACAGTGATTCACCAAACAGACAGCCGGGGTGTTTCCTGGTACTGATACACAGCGTGCCCTTTTGATGAGGATCTGTCGTCGTGTTTTTGTGTCCCTAAACAAAATGAGGAGAAGGTGCACTCAGTGAAACAGTCTAGATGATTCTTTGCCCCGTGTGGCATTTCATTATCACAGACACCAGACCTGTAGGCTGTGAAACACACACACACACACACACACACACTCGCACAGATAACCCTTGTTATTAAAAATGTGACTTCAAGGCAAACTCCTCCCACCAAGATAAAAAAAACACTGTAGTCAAACACACATTTGGGTAAAAAATATTTATAAAAAAAAAACTGAACTGGAGTTTCATCTTGACTGGCCCCTCGGCCACAGGTTGCATGTACAAAGAGAGAGCAGAGTCTAGAAAAGAAGAAGAAAAACTTGTGGAAAGGTGATCAGTTAGAGGGGATCGAATGAATGATCTGGGTGATACTAATGAGAAATCATAAACGAGTCATTTGTGTAAGATTTAATGGCATGAATATCAAAGTGGCAATAGAGACGCTTTTTTGCTAACTTATCATATGTTGATTGCACAATGTAATGGCTACAGTATAATGACACCATAGGCGTTTAAACTGGATGTCTATAAGCCTCGCTTAGATGACAGCGCTTTTGTTTTCCCCGGTTGCTGTTGGTCGCTCTCCCCAGTAACCAAAGAGCATAAATGTAAGTTTTTTTGCAGTAACTATCTTCAGCAGCGGAAATAGCGGATGCTGGGACAAGTAGCAGTGGGAAACAAACGCAGTGTGTCCTCTTTGTCTCCTGTTGGGTTTTTGGTCGGCTTTGAGGAAGACAGAAAGTTTTCCAGTTGTCTTTGCGACAGCAGCATCAAAGTTAATACTACACAGGAAGGCTAAGGGGGGAATTGAATTGCGTCACACGTATTGCACCATTTCCTGTTGGTGTGAAATGTTAAAAATGTATATTATTTTAAACTCAGTGATCAAACAGACAATATGTCAATGATTATGTTGTACGTGTCGTATAGACTTAGTATGGATTGGGGACAAAGCGTGCATCTTTTGCTTGTTTGCTTTTTAATTTAAATCGTTTTAATATCTAGACCTCATTCAATGCAGAATCTGGGAGGAAAAGAGACCAATTACATGAAAAATAAAGAAAAAAAGAAAAGAGGATGTATTTGTACTATTTGTTTGTTACATGGGGGTTTGTTTGTGGTATTTTCAGTCCCCTCCACCACAGCCTGTCCGAGCTAGCCCAGCTTGGTTTGACATGTATTCATGAAGACAGGTTAGAGGCCAGAGTCCCTGAGGTAATTCACTTCAGTACAAGGACCTGAAGATGATTTGCTGGGAGAGCCTCAGCAGGTGAAAAACATGAAATAATCATAGAGAAAACATATTGTAGTAATGGAACTGTGCGTTTATGGGCTGGAACTTCAAGAGCTCGCCAAACAAAGCCTAACATACAACTGATGGAGGTTATTTCAGGATGAAAAAATGATATACTTTATGTAACTAAAAGGCTCCATGAGAAACATTTTGAGAAGTATTAGCACTGCACCGTGCTCTCTGTTACTGTGGCATTTATAATAAGGTCTCTAGGTCTTTAAAAAAAGAGCTTTGTTCTGTGAAATGAACACACAAGGTGTCTGTGTCCTTGTAATTCATAGCATGTGTTTTGTTATGTTATTGTAATTAAACATATTTCTACTAATTACAGACTTGGTTTTTGCCTGGTGTGTTGTCCTCCTCTTCATCCAGCTGTCTTTTTCTTGTTTCTTGGATTAAGGTCTACTAACTCTTGTTATTTATCTTGCATCACTGAGTGCTGTATTTTAAGGAGGTCTTTAAACAGAAAATGAATCATAGGTGAGAGTGAACAGGTTTGTTCTCCTGCTTGGCATGTGACTTTGTCATCTATGACACCCAACACGTTCTCTGCTGATGGCTCAGCAGAGTGCAACGTTAATTTAATTGTTGAGATTAGCAGGCACACCATTGGGACCAAAATAGCAGATTTCTGAAACACTGCATCAGTTTCTGTGAAGTTCTGTGAAGTTGGTGAAGATCACCGGAGTTTGTGAATGTGGGAAAAAAAATGTAATGTAAAATGACTTTTCTTAAAAAAAGTGATTTTAAGAAAAGTAGTTATGCATGTGATGGAACTTAACCCAATGCATTTCAGAGAGAAGCATGTCCCAGTGACACATGCTATGTGTATTTGACTGGAAAAAAAGACTCTTACTGCAGCACCTGTCTCACATTACATTACATTCGAGTCTCAAGACTTGAATTCACTGCAGCACAAATAGCTCCTATTAAAATATAATAATCTATTTCCTGAACCTATGTGGTTTACTCATCAGTCCCATGGACAATCTCCAAGATTCGACTTCTTACTCTGAAATGCCTGATTTCTAATTTAAAGTTTTTGCCCTGTTGATATCAAGACATTTAAATTTAACATTTTCAAATATCATGAGATCGCCTTGGGTCCGAAAGCCTCCCCAAAATACATCCTTTCGTGTTTTACAGCATAATTTAAGACTTTTTAGTGTCTGGCTGGCGCCACATGTTTGCTTTGCTGGGCATCCTGTTAAGATGGGGGAGCAACTTAATGATGATAATGTTGGAACCCGAGGTGTAGGTGAAGTATCTTTCTGTGCAAATTATGCATGCATGCAAAATAGCTGACTATATTTGCATCTGTAATTCAGGCACCTGACAGATCCGTGCAACCTGCAGCGCGCTGCAAATGCAGAGCATCTGCTTCAATCAAGCTGTATATGGAAAACACGGATGGGTAAACACAGTTTATCCCCACTACTTGGCAATCTTAACCCAGCACAAAATAATGCAGTTTTTTAACACAGCATGAGCTAAGCCAAGCTGTTTTTCTTCATGACCTAGCCATATGATAACAAGAATATAATAGTAACGAAACAAAAACTGTTTTCCAATTTTGAATTTTCACACTATTCCATTGATTTAGAGGTGTTGGATGAGTGTGAAGATAGGCAGCAATTCTACTTTGACAGTGTTTCATGTAGAAGTAAATGCATTCAACATGTTTGAAAGAATGATCTCTTTGTCTGTTTGCAAATATATATATATAAATACTGTATGTATAAAAATTCAGTCCAGTCATATTTCTACATACAGCTTAATTAAAATATCCAGCAAGTGTGGTGATGTTTTGACAAACTGTCATTAATTTATGATCAAATTTGCAACACGCCGATGCAAAAGTTTGGAACTAGTTGTGGAGCCTCCTTATGAACAATTTCCAAATAGTTTTACAAATATGGGTCGAAAAATTGTTAGTTGCAGCCATAATTCTAAATGAAAAATCGTTGATTTTTTTCTACATCCTCTTGGATTTTGGCGGTCGCCATCTTGTCTTTCTGCAACCAGTGAGCGGAAGTGACCATTTGTGGACTGTAGAGGAGTGACGTAGAGATGCCGTATACCGCTCAATCACAA